TAAACGGTTGAAATGTTAAATGATATACAAGCTGTTGTGAGACTTTTTTTTTTAATTAATCGTTTTAATTTTTGCTCTGTGTTTCTGAAAATGTATGGGCTCTATTGTCTGTGCATACTTGTGATGTTTTCTTTCTGCATTGTGCAGAAACCAACATGTTTGATCATATTAGTGAGTTTCATAAAGTTAGGTGCTTCTAGTCTTTGAATATTGCTATTAATTTATGGCACGTCCACTGATTGAGAAGTCCATAAACAGAAGATTTTTGCCTTCTCTGCATTGAGTAAAGATCATTTAGAGATAGTTTGACAGTGGTGCAATTTATGGCAGGTCTGCAGCATGTGCTTTACGGTGTGGTGCAGTATTTTACTCCAAGAGACTTAAGGTAATGCAATCACGTATGAAATGAGACTCAAGAGGCTCTAAGGTCTGCTAACACCATGTGAGCCATGTGAATACATGTGGTATTGATTAGTGTCAGCAGCCAAAAGTATCTCAGTGGGGATCGAGGAGAGAAGGTCTCTGTCAGTCATTGCTGCAATATGAACAGTCGGCTTTAGATATTTTTCATTTTGTTCCCCAGGCAGCAGTTTATTCTCACATGGAAAACTTATGACACTGGAAGAATGTTTTTTAGGTCTGCAAGGGGCAGAAATCATAGTGTGGACTTTGTTGCTTTATTTTAATATTTGGGGTAATGCTGTTCATGAAACAAAAATCAGGCTCGTTATATAAAATCACAATGATCTTTTAATTTCAAGTTATTTTAATACAAACCAGCATGTGATTTAAGCATTGCACCCCTGAGAAAGAAACTCATGCTCCTATTCCTGTAGGAACAAGATGGAAAGGATAACTATAACATTGCTTAAACTGTTTTTCTTTCTGCATATTTATTGTGTATCTGCATGAACAATCGTGTGAAAAAAGAGCTTTCTCAGGACTGTAAACATTCGAATAAATACATATTTTTTTCTGTACGACTTTATCAGGCTTACATTTTTATGGATGAATTTTAGCATACTCTTCTTTCAATTCATTAATGTTTGCAGGCATTTGTTTATGCAAAGCTCTCTTAAGGTGTCAATCAAGTTGAGCTCCAGAGTTTAACTGGACTTTGACGGGACCATTGTGATTCTTTGTTTTGTTGTTGTTGTTGTTGATTTCCTGCTGTGCTTGGGATCATTGTCCTACTAAACAATCAACAGCTCAACTGCTCCCCAGTTTCTGCCAGGTCAGCTTGAGCTGTCAGACATTACTTTGATATCCACAGGAGTTTATGTTACATCAGATTCTCAGGTCCTGTGGCTGCAAAACAAACCCAAATAATCACACCGCCACCTCCGCACATGACAACTGGTATTACGTGTTTGTGTTGATATGCTGTGTTTGGATTTTCACCAGATGTGATCTAGTTCATTATGGCCAAACATCTCCACTTTGGTCTAATCTGTTTAAATGTCTGTCTAAAGTCTTGTGGTTTGTTCAGATGCAACTTTACAAGCCTAAGTCATGCTGCCATGTTAATTTTTAGAAAGAAGAGGCTGGCAAACTTCACAAACACACACCTGAATGCTGCAGATTAGCAAACTTTGAGGGCATTCGTATAGGTGCTCCATCCATAAATCAAGTGCATTTGATTAGTAGCACCTGGCTGCTACTTACCCTTTTAATGTATATGAAAACAGTGAGGGTGTTTTTCACAGGCATCTCTGCAGGTATTTGAAAACTTTCATTTTCACAGAAAAAGAATTAGCTCAGATTAGCTCAATTTAATTCATTCCCCCAAAAAAATGTTTTTAAACTTGAAGGTTGCAGAGAGCTGCACAAACCAATATTCCACATTTTATACAAGCTGAGAGCAGATAACCCTTTTACAAGGTTATATCGACCTGCTACTCCTTCTGTTAACTGGCATTAACACAATGCTCGTCCCCGTTTTGATTCTCAAGCTGCTATTTTCCCTGTCTCGCCCTTATGACACAGGGTTCGGTTGCCATGGTGCCCAGCCGGGTATTCATGCTGTGTATGACAAAGGGTTTAATGTCGGTGGCCCGGTCTTGGATTACAGCAACACAGAGATCCGCTCCCCCTGGAGAGGAGGCGGTTACAACGCTGAACCTTTTCGACAGTCACGCCTGCTAATGTTAGACTCAATAAACACGGATCCTCAGCCGGCCCCATCCTTCCATTACAGCAATATTTCCCACATCTGAACTCCTACAGGTGTTTTTTGTCATGTCTTGCACCAGCATTTCAATGTAGTTGGAATTCATTGCATGTAACAAACCTATTGCATGAATATATTTGCATTTAGCCTCTTTAGAAGAACAAATCGTAATAGCATGGGTCCTACAGGATATCATGCATTAAACCAGGACACGATCGAAGAGGATAACAATCAATCCACTGAAATTACCTCTGTGCAAAGAGAAGATTAGTTTGTTGATTCCCTCTGATTAGGATGTTAATTATTTGCCTCCCACTCTAACCTTGCTGACATTTTCACTGTTGACTGTGTTTGTATGTGGTTTCTATGCAGACAGCCTGCCAGACATTCCTATAGGAAGTTAACGACAATGAGGAGCTAAGTCAGCAGCACTAATTTACTGCCAGGGAGACCGCTGTTGAGATATCCGCTCTGAGGTTTAGACAGCTTAATGTCTTGTCTCAGCTGGGGGAAGGCAGCTTTTATTTTCTTTTACAATCCCTCATAGGATCAGTTTTGCAAAGAAAGACCTCTGCCTGTGAACCTTACGAGCATTAAGTGAACCCCATGTGCTGATAATTGTTTTGTTACTTTTTTAGGTTCACATATTCCTTCCATTTTTTTTTAATTAACTGAAATGCAGGACCATTTGTAGTGATTAAAATATTATGTTAACAGTGCTTTTAGGCTACTTATTATTCATTTGTGTGGCTAAAAGCTGTTATGCAGGGTCTTTTTCCAACTTCTTTCCCTTTTTGTAAAAAGTTTAAGTCTTAACCCGATCTTAACCTTAGTTTTCATGTTTATATATGCAAAGAAGCCAGAATGTTTTAATTGTACCAATATGTAATTTCATATCACATATTTTAACACTGGATTACATTTATGGTCGTGTGGTAGATTGTACACACTGATTAAGTCATTTTTTCCCATATAAAATCTGTCAAAACATTCTGTGGTCGTAATGCAAGCGCTGAGATGATGAAAAATAAGTGATTTTGACTAATGACACGTTGCTCTTGAAAGAATAGTTTTTTTTGTAAACTTGCCTGCATCTGTCATCATGTGTGTGATACGTATGCGTGTTCTCATTCTTTACTATAGCAGATATTTGATTAGCTGTATATTTTCCCTGCCTCAGACAAAAGTGGTTCAAGTGTGAGGGTTGTAAATGTTTAGCTTACATCACGTGGTGAGCTTGGCAGTGCTATTGAATGAATGCCCCAGGGCTGATGAGGAAATCACTCACAGTCATACAAGTGTGACATTTATACACAAAACACTGTTGTCAACACAAGCAGTCTCCAAAAGTTCCAAGTGGTCACGTAGCTGAATTTAATTAGTTGTGTGTGTGTGTTTGTGTGTGTTAACTTTACACTCAAGTTTTCATGTTAGGACTCAAGTAGCATTTTTGATGGATTGCATTTTCTTTTTTCCTGTTTATCATCTTTTGCACTCCTTTCTCTGGTGTGGTGTAGATGATTAACTAAAACCAATTTTCCACTCCGATGGGTAAGGTTCTGTCCATGACTTTGTAAGTCTAATCATTCATCAGCAGTGGGTTTGAGACCCTTGGTCAGCTGGCTGGTTGTAAGCTGTATGCTGGGATAACATTGTTGTTAGCATGTCAACATTGTAGATCATATTGCAAGCATTTCTTTCCCCCCTTTTATGTTAGTTTGCAAGACATAAGTTATCCACTGCAGCAAAACCCACATTCTCCTCGTACTCATTACCACATCAAATCCACCCACCACTGCTGTTAACCTAACATATATATATGTAAACTCTACTCTGTAATTAATACTCAGCACCCTCTAAAAGTAAACATTGCTGATATTATGCTATGTCTTCTGGTTTTGGCTGGCCTTTGCACCCTCTTTGGAGAAATCTTCTAGAAATTTTGCTGCTTTCCTTCCTGGAACCCAGATCGAGCTGCAAATGTCTGTCCCTATGATGTTACCTCACTTTGTAGGAAAAAGAAGATTGCGTGTCGTGACACTGGTACTAGTAACTGCCTCTTGTCTCTGAACACAGTAACACATTAACCAAATGAGAAACTTTCATGTAACCAGTCTCCATTCATTTCCCCTTCATTCAGTCCACTCTTATAAATATGCTGTTAAAGAGTCCCCTCAATATGATCCCAACCCTCTAATCCCTGCTTCTCCGTGTGTGAAAGTTCATGTTGGTCTAAAGTTTCCTAAAATGCCTGGTTAGCTTCAGGTTTTATGATTGAAAGCTTTGTGGCTTTTTAATAGGCTCCCACAGTTTGTTTGCACGATAAACGAAGGTCTGTAAAGTTGTGCAGATTGCTGGGATATTGTGATATGAAGTGCACATTTAAAGAATCAATTTCATACTATTTTTGCAGAGACAAATGTTTCCAAGACCCCTTTTCATAGTGTCTCTCAGGTTTAGTAACATGTTTGTCTAGGGGCAGCTCCTAGATGTGTAGGTCTCTATGGTATGGGGGCAGGATATCTGATCTGCCCAGCAGGCAGAGCTGTGGTCATTTCTGTGGGAGTAATGGAATTCTGTGGTCAGTCCCAGTACCCATGGAATTCCAAAAGCAGTCAGGCATGGTTCATATAACTCACATAAATAGACCACCTTGGTCATGATTTAGGAGGTGGTTGGGACAGGAATGTCAACTTCAGTACTTTGAGTTGTTTTCACTGGCAGCGCAAGTCAGAGAGAGACCCTCTGTCCCAGGTGTGTTTATATCTCCTGCAGCAGGCCCACCTGTTCCACCCAGTAATCTGCTGGTGTGTGTGTGTGTGTTTTTCAGGTGACCTGTCCCCAGTGCAGATGTCGCCTGTTCCTCAGTCCCAGTTCATTCCCCTGGCTGAGGTGTTGTGCTCAGTCATCTCAGACATGAACTCTTCCCAGATCACCGTCAGTCAAGACTCACTTGTCAACTACATGAGCAAAGCTCATCCAGGTAATCCATGAAATACTGCCACAGCTTACTTGAGAAATGAATAGTTAGGCAAGAACATTGGACCTCGTTGTCTAATAGTGCACACACAAATCTGTGCGTATAAAATTTTCATGCACAAATGAGCGATTTATCAGTATTTTTGTAGCGGAGTTTGTTTGTACAGAGGATGCAATTAGAAGTGCCTCTGACCGTGTGTAGAAATAACGAAGACTTTAGAAAATGCTTAGAAAATGTTAAAACACACCTTTAAACTCAATAGCAATACTACTACTACCAATAATAATAACAACAATAATAATAATAATGATAATGTTGCCTTTTGGTCATTAGTTGCAGTTTTCCAAAAACACTGTGTTACAAAATGCACAGAATCCCAATTAAATAAAAAACAGAATTTAAAAAAATACTATTTCAAGAAAACAAAAATTAAAAAATTATTAAGTAAATGGAAAAATCAAGGGTTTAACTTTTAATCATATTTCAGTATTTTCTTATCTCATAATTAAATGATCTTGTATTTCATTGAAGGGATTATATCATTGCTAGATGTCAACACTTATAGTCTTAATTTTTTTACCAGCTGAGTAGAAAGGCACTATATAAGTGCCAGTCCTTGAGCCACAGTGAGTGTCTAAGGGGAAATTATATTAAGAACCTCTGTTACTTCAGCTGCAGCATTACTTTATTTAGTTTTTCTCAAGAACGAAATAGGTCAGTGCGCATGTTTCATAAATCTCATATACTAATATGGGAGCAGTATTTTCTTTTCTTTACAAGCAGTTAATTTTTTCATTTTATCGAGCATTTTATGACATATGCTGCTTTTGGACAGCGAGGCCTTCATTTGTTTGTACGCATGGTCAGTGGCACTACTAAATGTATTTGTATTTGTGAATTAAAAAATAATAATAAACCACTGATTTATGCGTGAAACGTTCACATGCACAATTAGTGCACAGATCTGCAGGTATGCACTATTGATCATCAAGGTACTTTGGCCAGAGCAAAGAAAGCCATAGAACTGTTTTCAGCATTTGTTCTGGGCTAAGCTAAATGGCTGCTGGCTGTAGCTTCATAGTTTTCAGTTATGCATTAGAGATTTGGAATTATAAGCATTTCATCTCTTTTGGCCTTAATCGCATTCCCTTTTTGTGTCTCAGGGATAACCATCCCCACTCAGGACATCCTCTATAACGCTTTAGGCAATCTGATCAAGGAACGCAAGATTTACCACACAGGCGAGGGCTACTTCATCGTCACTCCACAGACTTATTTCATCACCAACAACATGGTCAGAGAGAAGAACTGGTGGACTTCTTCTTCGGCAGATGACGCTCCTTTACCTCCTCCCGTTACTTACCTGCTAAGTAACGACATCTGCGTCGAGAGCACACAAACGCCCCCAGTCGCCCACTGCAAGTCCTGCAGCTGTTTTAGCCCCCTCCAAATCTCCACTAATGCCACGACTGCTCCAGCAACTGTCCCTCCCTCCACCGTCCCAGATCAGCATTCCGTGTCCGTGTCCATAAGCGAATGCACGGGGAAAAGCTTAAAGTGGCCGCGACCTTTAGATCACAAACCCACCGTGCAACATCAGTCCACCTCCACTGCAGCAGATTGTCAGGCAAGTGAGATCAGCAAGACTACAGCCACTACTAACGCCACCAGCCGCAAAGAAAAAGATAAACCAGGGAGGAGGTTTGGGCTCAGTTTGTTCCGGAGGAATGGAGGAAAAAAGGAGAAACCGAAGAAGGAGTATGCATCTTTTTCAGGCCAGTTCCCTCCAGAAGAGTGGCCTGTAAGAGACGAGGATGACCTGAACAACTTACCCCGTGATCTGGAGCATGCAATCATCAAACGCATCAACCCTGAGCTAACTGTGGACAATCTGACACGCCATACCGTCCTCATGAAGAAGCTGGAGGAGAGAAGGGAGAGAGGGATAGAAAAAGTGCTGGACAAGGGTGTTGATAAAGATGATAAGGGAGTTGACAAGGGAATGTCTACTGAGGTATTGGCATCTTCAAAACTGAGGCATCATCACTCATCCAAGGCAGGAGCAGGCAAAAGATCTGCTCAGAAAGCCTCTCGCAGCAAGAGGAGGAGCCACTCGTCCAAAGAGAAGCACAGGGAAAAGGAGAAGGACAAGGTTAAGAACAAAGCTTCCATATGTGCGGACAATTATCCAGAGGGGGAGGATTTGATCCCTACGCGGCTCAGAGTGGAAATCGCTGTTGATGAACCAGTTCAAGTGGAAGAATGTGGAACTGCTGAGGGAAAGTCTCTTTATAAGAAACGCATTGAAAACCCTTTCCAGGCACATCCGCTGAAAGAAGCCGAGAACAGAATTCCCGCTGCCAGAGAGCACAGAAGACGAGAGGTGAAAGAGCACAAGACTTCGGGATCAGGGAGGAAGGACCGAACGAGTCATCGCTCCAAATCTTGGGACCCACACCGAGCCAGACTGATGGCAGCAGATGGAGAGAATGAAGAGAAATTCACTACATCTGAAGAACAATACAACTGCAACCCTGAGAGGGACTTTAGTGCTGATCTTCTTTTCCAGTCGGACACGAAGCCCAGCAGAGAGCTGCCACTAAACTACAGCTCAGTCTACCCACAGAGCAGTACGCTTCGCATAGATGACAAGGTCAGACAGAGAGAGGACAGAGAGAGCAAACATTTTCAGGATGCCCCAGAATATGACAGTATGCCAGATCGCAGCCAAAATATAGTTGGAAGTCTTCCTAACATCCAGCAGTATTCCAGTGCTAATGCCTCTCTCTCCACCCATCCCTATGAGCTTGCCATAATAAACAATGCATATGATCCAAATCTGCCATGGCCCAAGCCCTCTTTACAGCGGAAACATTCCCTCAGACTCTCCAACCCACAAAAAGACAGCACACAGAGGCCTAATGAGCTCTCTGAAACTACAGAGACCCAGAACCTGCAAGAGATCAGACCTGTCACTGTCAATAACAGAGAGCAAAGAGCCATGAGCCTGGGAGAAAGGCTGGAACTGACATCTAACAGCACTGCCTTGGTAACAGACACTGATGGCTTTACAGAGGACGACTGCAGACTCTATCAGAGAGCAGCCGATCAGGAGGATGATGATGCCTGCAGCTCATTGTGCCTGAATGACGATGAGGTTACAGAGGATGCAAGTAAGTACACAGCAGGTGGTGCGGACTATCAGGGTCACCAGCTGGTTTACCAAAACCGCGACTCTAATCTGAAGTATCAGGGACCACACAGTCGCCATTTTAAATCCAACTTTCACCAGCCAGAAATCACCTTAATGCAGGGGTCAGCATATCAAATTTCTCTGGCAGTCCAGAGGGAAGATACCCTCAGCCCGTCCAGACCTGAAGACACCAGCTGGAGACTCCATCGTCAACACCAGAAGATCAGATCACCAAGAACCGAAAGCAAATCCAGCCCAAAATGGGATGCAGCGATCCAGGGAGAAAGACAGCACAAAGATGACCTTGATTTGGACTGTTCAGAAGCATGTGAAGTTGGAGACAGTAGCATCTTTGACTACTGCCAGACTAGCGAGATCGAATCGGACACAGAGACTGTGAGGAAGTCGGCTGATGAAGGTGACGGTGAGTCTGCTCACTGGGCAGCTGAGGTGGAGAAGAAGGAGGAGGAAGAGAAGCATGTACCTCAGGCCCACAGGGCTGCTCTGAGCATGCCCGATGGAGCTAGAGGGCCAGACGTTAGGGAAGCTGTGGAAACGGGAGAGAATCAGAGCATCACAGGAGACAGCGGTATAGATTCTCCAAGGTGAGTCTCTCTCTTTAAATCGCTTTTTATAAATAAGATAATGAGGTGATACTGAATCTTAACAAATCCACTGATCCCAACCCAGATGCACGATCTCTTGTGGTCAGAGTTTTGACTACTTTTCACACCTCTGACTCATGTGTTTCCTATTGTGAGCCCACATCAGACTGCATCCTCCACATATTTCTGGAGGGGTTTTGGGCAGAATAAACACCATACTGAGGTTAGTTAACCTCTGGGTTACGTGTCTGCGGTTGGCCATGCTCTCAAGTTGATGTTTTTTCTTATAAAGTAAATTGCAATAAAGCTGAACAAACACCTTGTGGCCACTTATAGCATCCAGTATTTGAACAGAAGGGAGTCATTTATGATAATTATGTATAATTGCTGTGCGGTACTTAAACACTCATGTTATAATCAAAGAGGAAGAAAGGAGTTCTTTTTTTCTTTTTTTTTGCCATTGAACTCGCCGTGCACCCTGGTGTGTAGGTAGAGGCAGGGAGTGCACGACCACGTCACATACGTTACTGAAGTGGTGTATTTTTCCTCCACAGGACCCGGGTCAGCTTGGCGTCTAGCAACACTGTCATTCTTGAAGGCCTCAAGAGAAGAGGCTTTTTGCAGAACCTGGAGAAACTGCATTCGAAGAGCAGTGCCATTCGAGCACAGAGCTCACTGCTGCAGCTGACTCCTGTCATGAACGTGTAGCAGGCTTGAACTTCACGTTGGACCTTCACAGGCCTCATCTGGAAGAGGCCTCAAACCTCGTAGTTATATACGACTGTTAGTAATATATCCGATATCACAGTTTTATGCATATCTTCACATAATGATAGCCATTGCTAAAGAGGCATGTGTACAGGTGTACAGTATATATTTTGTGTTTTTGTAAATAACTTTGTGATATGCCATGGTGCATGGTGTATTAGCAGCACTGTGTCATTTAAATGTACAGTTTTCCTTCTCTACAGCTCTAGTGTTGCCCTTTTTCTTTCTCATCATGTAGAAATTACTACAAATAAAACTGTATATATAAACCCACATTGTCTTGAAATGGACGTCTCCATATGAAACATTTTACCAACACAATATGAGTGCCTGCAAGAATTATTTTACGCTATGCTATCAGTGTAACTGGCCCCAGTTCATCCATTCGTTTCTTCTGCCTTTCCAACTCAGGATCGTGGGGCAGCTGGAGTTGGGTGAAACTGGGCTGGTTGCCAGTCTGTGGCAGGACTAACACAAAAGGAGAGACAAGCATTCACACACACGTTCACACATACGGCCAATTAACAACTAATTAGCCTAACATGCTTGTCCCTCAAATGTGGGAGGAAGCTGGAGAGACCGACGGCATGCATGTAAACTTCATACAGAAATACCCTGGGATTCAAACCCTGGGATCTTCTTGCTGTCAGGCAACGGCACTGAACAGCTCTGCTTTTATTAAACTGGTAGATATTTCTTAAAACAGACAGATTCTAATGTATTTTATTTTTGTGAATAAATGAATTAAAAAATATGTTGTTGGGTTTTAAGAAGCAAGTAAATTTCGGGGGTTCACTATCTTGTCTAAGGATGGTTCAACCTGCAGGTTGGAGGAGCCGATGATCAAACCACCAATCTTCATAACAGCGGATAACCTACTCTTGCTCTTGAACCACAGCCACCCCAGTGCAAATATCCATGTGTCTGCATAACCTCAGTATTTCTGAGGGTTACGTGACAATGAGTCCTCAGCCTTGAACGTCTGCCTCAGCAGACTTAGGTCACCCTGCAGTTGAGAATGAATATAAACCAGTGTAGTGGTGAGCGTGGGAGACATTACGTGGATGTTTTTACAGGTCACAGGAAATTCCCAAAAGCTTTCTTTGTATAGCTTCAAAAGGGCTGTTCCTAGCCTTGAAGGCCAAACAAGTTTAGGTGAGGTTTCAGTTAAAAATGTTCAGCTGCAGGAAGGATAAAACTACTATTTAAACAGATGTTAAACTGAAGACCAGGACCTGCTTCACAGCCGGAATCTCCCTGTTCTTGAAGATGTTTCAAGGAGAAAGAGTGACACCATGTGGAGACACTGTGGAAATGCAACCGCAACCTTGTCTTGAGGTAAACATGCCAACACATTAACCCACATAACCCACCAGTTGTGTGTCAGCAATACGGCATCCATCTAGAAAATAATGGACTTTGTCATAAATCTCTGTACTCCATTGACTGAACACCACAAGGTAGTCAACAACCTTTATTTATCCATATATGTGCCACTCAGAAACTGGGAAGAGGTGTTACAGGATTTGCCCTTAAGAGAAGTCTATATGGATCTTTTACATGTTTTCTCTCTACAGTGAGGCCATTGACAAAAATGAAGGGGCAAAAAAAATAGACAATATGGTAGTAACAGTGTAAACACATGGTAATATACACAAAAGCAAAAAAAGCAAAAAAATAGGTATCAGTGACATCAAATTAAAATGTAGGGTAAAGTTAGTATGAATAAGAACAAAAGACTCCTGGAACCCCTAACTTTTTTTTTCTCAACAGCTCGGCATACATTTCTACATAGCATGCAATAAGGCACCTATCTAACACAAGGAAGAAACCTATGCTACAGTGAAGCACAACTGTTATTGAAATAAAAAGAATATTGCTCACCAAAATGTTCACTCTGATAAAAACTGTATCTCTCTCATTCCCTTTCATATAGCCCAAGCCGTATCTAAAAAAATACATCAGTTTGTAAAAGATATTTTACACAGAACAGTAAATAGAACGCTATCCGTTGGACATTGGAAAATCTTGTAAAAGTGAGATTTTCTCATGTAGTCTTTTAGTATACACAATCTTTTTTCTCTCTCCATTTAGATCAAATTGTGATAGTTCGCAGATCAACATGAGTAAGAGTTACCTATATGCTATACACAGGTAATTGAATTAGTCTCCAAAGGATTAAAGTGTGATGTTGCATTTAATGTACATTTGGTGCTTGGGTACAGAGGAAACCGCACGGTAAATAATTAGGACACGGCTCATGTTGGAATATGCTACCCATTAGGTTTTTATTTTCTATTATGCATTTCTTTATGGCTAAACCGCAGGTCATAATAGACAGTGTGTCAGCCAGCCAGTATTGCTCTCTGTACAGTCTATGCAGCAACGCCAACTCATCATAGACATACAAAATAACAACCTTATAAATATACAGGATGGCTCAAGTCTGGTGGAGCCCAATGTCAAGAACAAGCTGCAACTGAACACCTGCAACAATTTGATCTCCAGCACTTAAAAAAAAAAAAAAAATGGAGACAAAGTGGAGCTTACTATCAAAAATGTAATCTTTTGAAACATCACACTAGTCACCTATACATATATATAAAAGAAAATCAATATTATTTACATTGGATTTCTGATATTTGCTTCACATGGGTTGTGTGAGAGAAAACGAAAGAGCTATTTAAATCGAAACAGTTCTCGTTCACCAATTGTGTCGGTAACCTTGGATAAAGTTGCAGCTGAAAAGCTTATTTGCCCACCTGAAGGTGCATGACTGAAAAACCATCCAGTGGGCGAAACACATTTCCCCCCCAACGCTCCCCCAGGTAACAAATTTATCATGTAGATCTTCAAATCACATTTTGTTTTCTTTAAAAGTGTTCGAAAAGAGGTCCTGGAGCATGTGAAGCATAATCACAAACAAGAATAGAGACTTCTTCAAGAATCTATTATTATACCCTCTTTAAACTGAGCACAAAGCCCCGGGTTCAGCTCTGAATTATAGGTTGCAGTCTTTCAGGCCAAGCCGCGTCCTTTTGAAGACTTGTGTGTTACTGTCCATCCATTCTCAGCTGCTCCACTTCAGCGTCATGTGCTTACCTGACCTCTCCTGTCTATAGAAGCTGGGTCTGGCATTTCCTGTCATGTGGTAATATCAATGAAGAGAACATTGGTAGAACATAAATGAGGATAGGATAAGGGAGGGTTTCTTGGGAGCGGGGGGAGCCGCGTTGCATGGGACCACATGTGAGGGTGGGAAAAGGGTGCTCACTGGTCTACGTGGATCCTATGATGTCTGGAGAGGGAAGAAGAATGGTTAAAGCCTTTTCCACATTGAGAGCATCTGTATGGCTTTTCAACCGTCAGGATGCGCTGCTTTGGGAAGGTATTGTTGGGGAATCCCTTCCCTGTGGGGATGGTGGTGTACTGCTGCTGTTGTGCCTGCGGTGGTTGCGGCTGCTGCTGTTGTTGCTTGTTCTCCAAGTGAACTCTCTGATGCCTTGCAAGCGAGGAAGAGTGATTGAATCTTTTGCCACAGTGAGCACAGGTGTAGCTCTTTCCCTCAGAGTGGACTCTTTGGTGCCGCGACAAGGAAGAGGAATGATTGAAGCCCTTATCACAGTGGTGACACATGTAGGGCTTCTCTCCCTGCTGGTGCACTCTCTGCTTTGGGGGAGTGCCGTAGGTCATGGGTTTCCCAGGCTGAGGTGGAGAAAACACTGGATTCTGCAGGTGTGTCTTGTGATGGCGGGAGAGTGAAGAGGAGTGATTAAAGCCCTTGTTGCAGTGTCTGCAGGTGTAGGGCTTGCCTCCGGCATGGACTTGCTGGTGCTTCTTCAGATGACGTTTGCGGACAAAACTCTTCCTGCACATGTTGCATTTGTACGGTTTCTCGCCCGAGTGGATCCTCTGGTGCTCTCTCAGAGTGGCGGCTGCAGCAAAACACTTCCCGCACTGTGCGCATCGGTGGGGTTTGTCTCCAAGAACGACCGCAGCATGGGTCTTCTGGTGCTGCTTCAGGTTTGAAGATGTAGCAAAGCCTTTGCCACACTGCCCACAGGTATATGGCTTCTCACGTGCGTGCACCTCCTGGTGTTTTTTCAGATGCCTTCTGCGGACAAAGCTCTTCCGACACTGAGTGCACTTGTAGGGTTTGTCCTCTGAATGCATCTTCATGTGTTCCCTTAGGGTGATTGCAGCTGCAAAGCTCTTACCACACTCTGAGCATCTGTGGGGCTTGTCTGGCAAATGAATCATCTGATGAGACTTAAGGCTGAAGGCATCAATAACATCTTTGCCCATCATCTCAACTCCTGGAGAGACATAGGGCTTCTCTTTCATGTGAATTTTCATATGCTGCTTGAGACTGGCCTCTACAGCAAAGCTCTCACCACAGTGGACACAGATGTAAGGGTTGAGGTCCTTGTGGATCTCAAAGTGCTGGTGAAGATCAGCTATGCTGCCAAAAATTTCCCCGCACTCGTTGCACTGCAGGCCATGGGCTTCATGTATGATTACACCGTTTTCAGACTCAACTGTCAGCTCCCCGCCATGGTCAGACTCCACTTTTACCACATGTTCACTTTCCGTCTTAAGCAGCACCTCTCCCAGCAGAGCCTCGTTTCCCGTCGTCTTGATTTCAGCTCCAGTGAAACAGTGCATGTCACCATGTTCCACTTTAATGTAATCATGGTCTGTCTCGGCTACAATTGCATCCACACACGCTACAGCTCCGAGCTCTGTCCCCAGTCCCTGGATCTTTAAGTCTGAACCGTGGATTTCCAGCTCTAATCCACGCTTTTCTTCTGTCATAATCTCAGTTTCTGCTCCATAGTGAAGGTCGACATGGCTGTGGGCTATGACACACTCCGACCCAAGTGTGTCAAGGCCGGGTGTGTCACATTCAGTCTCTGACTCGGCCATGAGAACACACTCCAACCCCACGACCTCCGTTTTCTTGCCGGATGATGACCTACTAAAGAATCGGGGGGATAGACCTTTGTCTTGTGTTGTGCCGCGCTGTTGCTCTTGTTGTCAAGCAGACCTGTGAGAGTAGAAAATAAACAATTTATTTTAGATAACTGTTCACAGCCAAAGGCATTTGGTAAAGAAAAACTTTTGCTTGACTGTCACTTATAAATGTAATGAAATTTTAAGTAGGAGTCTAAGTCTGGGTGACAGATCATGGCAAAGTTTACTAACTTTGGTAAAATTGTAGATTTGCTGAACTTGAAAACGGAGTCCTTAAAATGGTGGGTTTTCTG